CGGCCCCTGCCCCCCAGTCGGGGCGACAGAGTGAGACCCCGACTCAAAAAAAAAAAAAAATCAGCCATACGGAAACATACTCATGCTTCTGGTCCTGCAGAATTAAGGAATTCCATCTTCTGGTCAACATCTACAAAATTAGACTCTGTATTCTTCTTTTCTTTTAATAAAGAGACAGCATCAGCCAGGCTCGGTGGCTCAGCCTGTAATCCCAGCACTTTGGGAGGCTGAGGTGAGTGGATTGCCTGAGCCAGTGGTTTCGAGACCCGTCTGGGCAACTTGGAGAGACCTCATCTCTACAATAAGTCAAAAATTAGCCGGGCGTGGTAGGGCATGCCTTGTAGTTCCAGCTACTTGAAAGGCTTAGGGGGAAGGATCGCCGGAGCCCAGCAGGTCAAGGTTGCAGTGGCGGGAGCTGGCGGGAGCGGCCAGTGCACTCCAGTCTGGGCGACAGAGTGAGACTCCAACTCAGAAAAAAAAAAAAAAAAAAAAAAAAAGAGACAGGGTCTTGCTCAGTGCAGTGGCACAATCATGGCTCATTGTAACTTTGAACTCCCGGATTCAAATGATCCTCCCACATCTATCTGCCAAGTAGCTAGTGCTACAGTGCGCACCCATACCCAGTTCAAAAATATCCTGATAGTAAAGAATCTGCTAGGCTGAAAAATCTCAACAAAATTTGCCAGGCAAGGTGGCTCACACCTGTAATTCCAGCACTTTGGGAGGCAAAGGCAAGAGGATTGCCTGAGCCCTGGGGTTCAAGGCCAGCCTGGGCAATAGCAAGACTTCGTCTAAAAAAACAAAACAAGCCGGGCTCGGTGGCTCAGTCAGTAATCCTGTGCCTTTGGGAGGATGAGGTGAGTGAATTGCCTGAGTCCGCGGGTTCGAGACCTGCCTGGGCAGCGAGACCTCATCTCTACTATAAATCAAAAAATCAGTCGGGCGTGGTAGCGCATGCCTGTAATTCCAGCTACTTGGAAGGCTGAGGTGGAAGGATCGCCGGAGCCCAGCAGGTCGAGGCTGCGTTGGCCGAGAGCGGCCATTGCACTCCAGTCTGGGTGACAGAGTGAGACTCCAACTCAAAAAACAAAACAAAACAAAACAAAACAAAACAAAAAACCTCCACAAAATTTTAAGCACTGGCTGGGTTCGAGCTCATGGATTCAAGACCAGCCTGGGCAACCTGGCGAGACCTCGTCGTCTCTACAACAAATTAAAAAATAGCGGCCACTGCACTCCAGTCTGGGCGACAGAGTGAGACTCCAACTCAAAAGAAAAAAAAGCCAGGTGTGGCAGCACGCATCTGTAGTTCCAGCTCCTCGGAAGGCTGAGGCAAAAGGATCACTGGAGCTCAGAAAGTCAACGCTGGGGTGGCCATGAGCGTGCCACTGCACTTCAGCCTGGGCCAAGGAGTGAGGCTCCAAATAAAAAATAAAAATAAAAAAATATTAAAGCACCAAATTAATGATAGCAAATATTATTATTTTAACAGGTTAAGTTACTTCTCATGAAATTTCATCCACAGGCCAGTAAGCCTAAAAATCTGGTGTCTTGCAGTCTGGACTTGCCACCCCTGATTTAGAAAGCACCTAGTTGAAAATCTGTAACTATCCAGAGGTAGTTCACAGGCAGACCATGATGAGTTCTGAGTCAGGCCAGCATCATTATCCTACAGATACCTCAAGTGGAAGACGATAAAAAAGAAAACACTAAAGTGACATCAACTAATTAATTTCATCAGCACTATCAGTCACTATACTTCTGAATATACATATTGTACTGAATAAATTTTAATCATCTGTGTAAGCGGGCAGCAAAGACCATCTGTAACTCTAGAACAAATATACAGGCCTACATATAAAGTCCTACCATAAGAGTATGTCCCAGTTCATTTCAGCAAAAGCAGTACAGTGCTTCCAAATAATATGTTCTAACATTGTACAATATTTAAGAATATCACCTTTGAGAAGTTTAATCGTCTCTTCAGATATGGGAAAATTAGAGAAATCTCCTTCTTTTTGTTCCACAGTCATTTCCTATCAAGAAAAGGGCCACAGGAAGAAATCAATAATTACCCACAGAAGTGAATAGAGAAGACTTATGAGAAACAAAACAAACTACTCTAAACCAACTCTTCTAAACATGTTTAAAAACCAACCTAAAAGACATAAAACCTTGGAAGGTACATCAAGATCTGCAAAGGTAATATGTTGTAATAATCTATAAAATCCTAACAAAAGAAAAATATATAATGCACATGCACTATGTGTGACTAGTAAAGGTAGATCAGCCTCAGTTATGATCTATTCCATAACCATAACTAATACACTGCTGAAAATCTCATTAGCCCTTTTCTGCAGCAACACCCTTCAGATACAAATATCCACAGAAAATAAGGATATTTATGAGGTTTGTGAGGCAGTAGTCACTATGGGTAAAAAACATGAATGCTCAGCAAATGGAATAATTAAATGAATTTCGTTCTTTCTTTTTTTTTTTTTTTGAGTTGTAGTCTCACTCTGTCACCCAGACTGGAGTGCAGTGGCCACTCCCGGCCACCGCAGCCTCAACCTGCTAGGCTCTGGCAATCCTTCTGCCTCAGCCTTCCTTGTAGCCGGAATTACAGGCACACGCTACCATGCTTGGCTGATTTTTTTTTGATTTATTGTAGAGATGAGGTCTTGCCAAGTTGCCCAGGCGGGTCTCGAACCCGCGGGCTCAGGCAATCCACTCACCTCAGCCTCCCAAAGGCATGGGATTACAGACTGAGCCACCGAGCCCGGTTATTAAATGAATTTCTAAATATTTATATGATGGATTATGTAACCATTAAACATATTTACTATTTTTAAATGAGGAAAATGTTTATATAAATGAGTCGAAAAACCAGGATGCAAGACTGCATTATAGCACACTCCCTATCTGATTTTTAAAAAGATAGGCCAGGCACAGTGGCTCAAGCCTGTAATCCTAGCACTCTGGGAGACTGAGGCAAAAGGAATGCCTGAGCCCACTTGGCAAGACATCGTATGTACAATAAATAAAAAAATCAAGCTGGGCATGGTAGCATGCACCTGTAGCTCCAGTTACATAGAAAGCTGAGATGGAAGGATCACCTGAGCCCAGCAAGTCAAGGCTGCAGTGGCTGTGAGTGTGCCACGCACTCCAGCTTGGGCGACGGAGTGAGACTCCAACTCACAAAATAATAATAGATGTATATATAAATGGTACTATAAGAAAATCTGCCAGACACAGTACCTCACACCTTAATATCAGCACTTTGGAAGGCTGAGGCAAAAGGATTACCTGAGCCCACGGGTTCAAGACTAGCCTGGGCAACATGGCATGACCTCAACCCTACAATAAATAAAAAAATTAGCTGAGCATGGTGGCATAGGCCTGTAGTTCCAAGACTGAAGTGGAAGGATCACCTGAACCCAGCAGGTCAAGGCTGTGGTGGCCATGAGCATGCCACTGCACTTCAGCCTGGGTGATTGAGTGAGACTCCAACTCAAAAAAAAAAAAAAAAAAAGGTAGTGTAAGAAAACATCAAAACAACACACTACCTCTGTACCTAAAAAGTGTTTAATATATACTGAATGAATGAATGCTGAAATTCCAGAAAAGTTTTTTTTTCCTAAGAGCTAACAGAAAATTTATTAGAATTTGTGTTTTTTGGCTAGTTGCAATAGTTAGGAAGGCTAAGGTAGGAGGATAGCTAGAGACCAGGTGCTCAAGACCACCCTGGACAGCAAAGCAAGACTCCAAGCTGGGCTCGGTGGCTCAGCATGTAATCCTGCGCTTGGGAGGCTGAGGTGAGTGGAATGCCTGAGCCTGCGGGTTTGAGGCCCACCTGAGCAACTTGGCGAGACCTCATCTCTACAATAAATCAAAAAATTAGCCGGGCGTGGTAGCGTGTGCCTGTAGTTTCAGCCACTTGGAAGGCTGAGGCAGAAGGATCGCTGGAGCCCAGCAGGTCGAGGCTGTGGTGGCTGGGAGCATGCCACTGCACCCCAAACTGGGTGACAGAGTGAGACTCCAACTCAAAAGAGAAAAAAAAAAAAGACTCCAAAAAAATATTTATTTTTAAAGAAATTAACATTTTTCTTTCAAGACTGAGTTTCTCAAAGGTTAGAGAATTATATTCTGGACAGAAACTTCATCATTCTGTTCACCTCAAGTTAGTTAATGGCCTATACACAAAGACTTATACTGTACAATCAAGCAAACACCTTTTCAATGGTTCCACTTAATTATTTATTTGGTTAAACCCCCTTCAGAGGGAAGCCAGGGCCCATTTACACCACTATCTCTTTCTGGTTACCATCTTTCTGGCTTCCAAATAAGCAGACAGAGACTTTTCTTAAGCTTACAACAGATCTCTTATATGCAAAGGAGGCGTTCTGGCACAAGATTAAATTATGATAAAGACACAATCTGCAGCTCAAGGTACCTCCCTGCCCAGGAGGTGCTGCCCTACCAAGTTCCCTCTATTAAATACCTCGTATAGCAATTACCTCCTTGCTTATTCATAATAACAATGAAAGATGTTTCCTATCTATTCAAGTGTAAATTTACCTGCTCAGTCTCACTGTTCATTTCTTCACTGGCAGCTTCGCTGGAGTTAGATTCAGGTTCTGAGTGAGGGAGTCCATTCTCCAGTTTGGGACTTTTCTCTCCAATTTCTCCATTCACTTCCTTTTCTTTCTTCACCTTCTTGGGCTTAGGAGCATCTACTTCTTCTTCAGAAGGCTCCTCACTTTTTATTACTTTTTTGGTTTTAGGAGAAACAACTTTCTTTTCAGAGGGCTCCTTTTTCTTTTTCACACTTTTCGTTTTAGAAGGAGAAATGTCATCTTGAGATGGTTCCTCTTTCTTTTTTGCCTTCTTTGGTTTAGGAGGATTAACCTCAACTTCAGAAGGCCCTGCTTTGTTTTTAACTTGTTTTGCATTGGTGGGAATGGTTTCTTCCTCTTCTGCTGCCTCTTTAGTCTTATTTGATTTGGATTTTGCTTTTCTCTCTTTCTAAAAAAATTAATAAAGAAAATAAAAGCAAAGAACAAGGCATTTATACATTGTATAATTCACCAACTCTGGATTATTTCAAGATCGTTTTAAATTTTGAAGAAAACAATTTTGGGACATTTTAACATTTGTACTTTCAAGTTGTGATAAGGTAAAAAAATCAAAGAATTTTTTTTAAAGTGTCATTTCTTAGCTTTACAGAGATAAGTATACATCCTGAAGTGCAGTGGCACACACCTGGTCACTACAGCCTCGATCTGCTGGGCTCAGGTGATACTTCCACCTCAACCTTCCAAGTAGCTGGAACTACAGGCACACGCCACCATGCCCAGCTAAATTTTGGATTTATTGTATTAATTATTTATTGCTGGTCTCCTCAAGTTGCCCAGGCTGGTCTTGAGCCCCTGGACTCAGGCAATCCTCTCACCTCGGCCTCCCAAAGTGTTGGGATTATAGACGTGAACCACAGCACCCAGCCAGAGATAAGCATGTATCATTAGTTTCATTAGCTTGGAAAATCAAGTGCCTCTTAGTATTACTATTTAATTCATGCGGGTCAAAGAGCTGTAAAACCAAGTTTTCAAAAGGAATACTTCACAGGATACTCCAACAGACTTGAAATACTATAGAAAAACATACTATACAGTCCAAATTTAATTCCAAAAAAGTAATAAGGCCCTATATATCCACAGATGAATGATGTAAAGCACATTTCTTTCTCCCTGCTAAAATCCCACATAAAACAACAGGGACCCTTTTTTTTTTTTCTTAGAGACAGGGCCTTGCTTTGTTGCCCAGGCTAAAATACAATGGCAAGATATACCGCACTGCAGCCTCTTAAAACAGAAATTCTTAATATCTGCACCTTGCCTATCTCACAAAAGCAAATTAATTTACATAAAGACACTTTAAGGCTGAGTGTGCTAGCTTAAGCCTGTAATCCCTGTCCCTTGGGAGGCCAAGGCAGAAGGATCACTTGAGGCTAGGAGTTCAAGACCAGTCTGAGCAACATGTTGAGATCCTCGCTACAAAAAAAAAAAAAAAAAAAAAAATTAGGGTCATTGTGGTGTGGGCCTGTAGTGCTAGCTACTTAAGAGGCTAAGGCAGGAGGATCACTTGAGCCCAGGAGTTCCTTACAATGAGCTGTGGTCACATCCCTGCACTCTACTTTGGGCGACAGAGCGAGACCCTATCTCAAAAAGACACCTTATGAAACAAAAAGCTATAAAAATTCACAATTGCCGGGCTCAGTGGCTCAGCCTGTAATCCCACGCTTTGGGAGGCTGAGGTGAGTGGACTGCCTGAGCCCGCGGGTTCAAGACCCGCCA